TGGTACAGCAATGAAGGAATGAAAACCCAAAATCCCTGTAAATGTTCATTAATATTAATAAAATTTAATAATTTTTTAAAAAATGTTCCAAAATCAGTGGCCATCAGAGAGATGTAAACAACAGTGAAACACTATCTTACCCCAAATAACAAAGTTTAACAAGACAGCAAACAATAAATGTTTGAGAGAATGTGGAGATACTGAAACTTTCATGGACTGCTGGTAGGATTATAAAATGGTGCAACCACTCTGGAAGGAAATTTGGCATTTCCTTAGAAAGTTGAACATAGAAATCTCATATGACCCAGGAATTCTACTGCTAGGAATATACCCTCAGAAAATCAGAAACTGAGACATGGATGGAGATATGTGCACCTATGTTCATGGCAGCAACACTCACATAAGCAAGAAAATGGAAACAGTTCAAATGTCTACCAACAAACGACTAGATTGAGAAATTGTGGTAAATGTACACAATGAAATATTATGCAGCACAAAGGAACAATAATTTCAGATAACAAGATATAACATGGAAGAATATACAGAGCATTGTTTTGTGGCAATAACTCAGACTCATAAGGAAAAATATTGCATGAGACCATTATTGTGAAAAGAGAAGGATAACTGAGCAAGATGTATAAATGTTCAAAAAGGAAAGGGGAAAGAGATAAGAGTGTGGATAAAGAAAGGGGCAGGAGGGAAATCACTAGGATAGCAGAAGTTAGTGGGCAGATGAGGGGATGAAAGAAAAGATTCAATGGGGACTTGAAAAGACAGGATAATAATAGGTATAGAACATCAATAATTAATGATATAAAATACAATGTATATGTATTTATAAATACATATTAAACATATGTATTTAATATAATGTACTTATAATGTAAATGCAAGATTGTATAAAATGTGAGGGGGGAGAAAGAAACAAATAAAACCACTTATTGAGACAACTGACAGTATTAATAGAAATCACATTGATGATTAAAATAAGATTGTGTTTAAAACAGATTATCTTTGTTTTCAGTCAATATAATGGAGTAAAGAAAATGCTTCCAATGTATATAGGTGAAAGTACAGTGAGAGAGAGAAAGGGGTGAGGAGAAAAAAAAAAAAGAGAACGTTATAGCAAATAGAGGAAAATGCAAACAAAAATGGTACTTCTACACAAAGGGAATTCTTCATACTATTTACAAAAATTTGGATATGTTCAGGGACTTTTAAATTTTACTTCCAAAATGAATTTTAAATAGTTTCAAAAAAAATATTACAAAATAGAGAATCTGTTTCAGTAACATTACATTTCTATTAGTTGAGTAAACATTCATAAACACTGCGTTCCACTTACTGAGTAATGAACAAACAGGTTCATCCAAGAAAGAGGGAGATCAGACTGCTCCTTGGAGGGAAGGATTCTGAAGCATCGACTGACATGCTTTGAATATGTTGCATGGAGAGTTCATTCCTTGGTAAGGAATATCATGCTTGGTAGGGTGGAGGAACAGTGCAAGAGAGAAAGACCCTGCATGAGATGGATTGACTAAGTGACTGGGTTAATGGGGGTAGGTGTGTCACAGACAATGAGATTGGTACAGGATAGAGCTGTTGTAGTTAGGGTTGCTATGAGTCACAGGCAACTCAAAGGCACATAATAACAATAATAATGGTTATTACCTTCTGTAAAATTTAAGTGGTGGCATCAGTAGCCAGGAAATTAAAAGACGTATTGACATGGGAAAGACTGCTCTTAGGAACCTCTCCAAAGTACTGAAGAGCAATGGTGTCTCTCTGGAGACTAAGGTGCATCTGATAAAGGCCACAGTCTTTGCAATCACTTGTTATGCATCAGAGAGTTGGACATTGACTAAGGAGAATAGAAGGAGAATTGATGCCTTTGAGCTGTGGTGCTGGAGAAGAGTATTGAGGGTACCATGGACTGCTAGGAAAACAAACAGATTCGTCCTGGAAAGGGTTAAACTGGGCAGCTCCTTGGAGGCAAGGATTCTGGTAGGATGGAGGGAGGAAGGCCCTCTATGAGGTGGATTGATTCAGTGACTGGGGTAATCAGGATGGTGTACTGGAGACGGTAGATTGGCACAGGACAGAGCAGAGTTTAGGGTTGTTGTACATAGGATTGCTGAGTCTCAAGCGACTTGATGGCACATAACAACAACAACATATCAAATAAAATGATTCGTAACTATGTTACTCATTGTGTGTAGAATTGGTACCTTGTGGAAAACCACAAGGACACTTTGGGAAAATGTACATATACACATACATATATTTATAAAATATATGCAATTTTGATGGAACATGATAACCAATAAATTCTATCTGTCCATATATAATTTATAATTGGCTTATAAATTATCTACTTTATAGTCAGGTGGCATTTTTATTAAATATGTACTTAATTGTGAAATTTTCACATTCATGGCAACAAGCAGTTTTCAAATACATTTTTAAAGCATACTTAGTTAGACAAGGTTTGTATCCAGTATCATGTAAACCACAGTTCCCAGTTCGATCATTCAGAGAATTAATTTCTTTAAAACATTCTTCACTACCAAAAGTTACACCTGAGGTGATGGGATGGAAAAAAAGAAGAATGCTTAGTTATACTGAAATCATGTAAAACAATATTTTTTGAAATTCTGAAGTAATTTAAAATACGTTGCAAACAAATACAGTAAAAATATAAAAAAGAATATGATTACACAAAATCATTTAAATATTTGGGGGGAATAGGAAGGTACTCTTGTCTATCTATAACATCCTAGAATTAACCCTTTTATGCACTATACCTTCTACATCTCAGTAATCATATAAATACAAATTCACCAGTACAATAGATAGAACTTATTTAAATTTAACATTTTGACTGCAAATTATTTTTGCATAAATGTTTCTCCACTTCAAACCAGTAAAATGTTATACAATATTTTTTAATCAGATTAATTATCATCCAAAACTCTGTATCTATTCTTGACTCTTTCTCATATTCACTAAGATATGTGAGTAAGTTTAACATTCATAATTTCATCATTTTACGATCAATTGAGAGGTGAACCTAAAATATTTTTATATGGTAATGCAACCATTTTTTGTGGTTGAAGGGAAAAGGACACACTGAGACAAAGCCTGAGGAACACACCTTAATCTCACCTGTAAACTCTTGAAGCGATATTGTTAGGTGCTGTAGAGTTGACACCAAATCAGTGACTCTATTTTCAACAGAAAGAATCACTTCCTGATCCTGCACCATCATCTGGACTGTGCTGAGGGAGTACCAAAATCCTAAAACACTGCCACTGAGTTGATTCCAGCCCATGATAAACAACCTTTCATTCAGCATCTAATATCCTACTTCAGAAGAATAGCTGGTATATTTGAACTGAAAACCTTTTGGCTAGTTGCTTAACACTTATACACTATTACCCCCAGAGCAACCATCTCTACTTTGAAGAAGTCTTTTGTAAAAAAATTGCCTAATGTAATATGATAACGAACTGTGGCTGACTCCAAGAAGAATGGGAATCCCAGAACACTTGATCATGCTAATACGAAATCTATACTTGGACCAAGAGGCAGTCGTCAGAACAGAGCAAGGAAACACTACATGGTTCAAGATTGGGAAGGGCATATGCCAGAAATGTGTCCTGTCTCCATACCTTTTCAATCTGTATGCAGAACAGATTATCCAGGAGACTGGGCTCTATGAGGAGAAATGTGGCATCAGGATTGGTGGAAGATCTATCAACAATCTGCGTTATGCAGATGACACAACCCTGCTGGCTGAAACGGAGGAGGACCTCATGCACTTGCTGCAGAAGGTCAAGGACTGCAGATTTCAATATGGATTGAGGCTCAAAGTCAAGAAGACGAAGATTCTCACCATTGAACCAACTGGCAGCATCAGGATGGATGGTGAAGAGATTGAGATTGTACACAGCTTTAGTTTGCTTGGCTCCACAGTCAACACTCTTGGCACCAGCG